TGATTTACAAAAAACTTTAATAACTGGGCCAAAACTTTTCTTATTTAGACTTATGGGGTCTCGATAGAAAGGTATTTTCACACTGTTTTTATTTCTGTCCAAAAAAAAGTCATTCGCGTCCCATTTTTTTTTTCAAACCCCAACACATCTTAATTCAACTTTAAATGACGATCGTTCATCCTACCTTTCTCTTTCATCCTTTTAATGAGATTATTATCAAAGAAAAAAAAGGATGAGAAAATACCTTTCCAATGACACCTCTTAAGTCTAAATCGGAAGAACTTAGGGTCAGTTATTCAAGTTTTTCTTATACCAATCTTTGAAAAAAGTTAAAAAACAGCATCAAAAATCTCATCATTACGATTCCGTTTAAATTTTTTTTTTAATATTTTTATGCAAATTTTTTAAGCTTAAACCGTTTTGTCATTTGAGGGGATTTTTTCAAAAAAAAATCTTTAAGAAACTATTTTTATTCATGAAAAACTCAATTTTTGGAGGTATTTTCAAATCGGTTCAGCTCACTTAAATCTGAATATTTTTCGGAAATATTTTGGTGGTCGTCTTAAAATATATTAGATTTTATAATTCTAATGGAAAAATAGTACCGATTTTTCTTTGTATGGGGAGCGATGCAGTCTAATGTACATACATGCGTATGTATGTAAATAATTCAATTGTATACACAACCCTCACCTTTCGTATTTAACTCGTCTGCAATTTTCTTCCAAATTAATTCCTTCAACGATTGGTCTCTATATTCTGGTGAGCTAAAATCGTACAAACACTCGTGCTGTTTCACTAGCTTGATAAGTTTTTTATTAAATTCCGCATCCATTTCCTTTTTTTTGTGTACTCGTTCAAACTTTTAGTATCTAGCTTCAAGATGAAAATTATTTTAATATAATTGAGCAACTGCGACGTCTTTCTATTTTGCGCTCGCATCGCCAACTGTTCGTTAACGTCGAAACGTCTCGTTTGTGACGAGTTCACGTCGCGTTGACGACGACGGTTTCACGCTCTTGCGATTTTTCGCTCTTCGTTTAGATTCTCTTTCATTTTGTTGCATTCCGAAGTTGCGCGCTTTTCAAGTGAGGGAACAATACTTAATAGATATGTATATATGGATGTATATATGTATGGATGTTACATAACTACAGAACAAATTTTTCTCTTTGGAATAAAGTGCAGAAAGTTTGTTTCAAAATCTGCTCAAATCAGGGGTCGTACTCATTATATGTAAGCAAAATAATTCAAATCAGCATTCAATCATTATTTTATAATTGTTTTTCTTTCAAAAATAATAATAATTATTTAGTTTAATTTTTTTCAATGGCTATAATTTCTAGTTGATTTCATTTTGTCGATTACGAATAATGATTATTTTATCATTTTTAAATTTTTTCACACAGGGATAATAATTATCTATGATTAATTTTTATTTTCCACTTATAATAATGGTTATTTATGCAATTTAAAAGGCCATACAGAAAATGCAACCAACTGAAATTTTACCTGAAAGTTTTAACATTTAGGTACATATTAGTTTTATTAGGGTGTCCGCCACCTATGAAGAGATACGTTTGAAATCCCGCTAGTACGGCTTTCAAGTTTTTTTGAATAATTATTATGCTTAAGTGAAAAAATAAAACGCAATAGTAATTATTATCTTTATTTTTGATCGAAAAAATTAAAATCTTTTAACAATAATTTCTTTTGATCGAAAAAAAACTCATATTAGTTATTATTTTTAATTTTTGTTGGTTAGATTGGTTAGAGATTAGATTTAAAGGATATACAAGCATGCTTTGCAGTTCAAGAATTCTTTTTCTGAAAAAGTAGAAACATTTTGGAAATGGATCTAAAAATAAGCATCAAAAAATTTGTGGGATGAAGTGATCGTCCTCGTCCAAATTTTGTTGAACAGTGAATGTTAAAAATGTTCTTGGCAGTTTTTATCGTTCAATATCGTTTTAGGTAGCATTAAACTTGCGGATTAACAGTTTCTGTTTTAACGTTGTAATAAATTCAATAAAACTATTTAAGAAATTATGGATTTCGGATTTAGGGACATTAGGGTGCAACACTCTCCATATTAAAGAGGTCGTTACTGTTTCCCATGGGCAATATAATTTTTATCATATTTTAGGACTTGCGCCAAAATATTTCGGAAAAATATCAAAATTTACCTATTGGAAATACCTCCAAAAATCGGGTTCCTTACAAATAAAATTAGTTTTTAAAAATAGTTTTTCTAAAAAATAACTTCAGATGTTAGAAGAGTTTAAGCTTAAAAGGTGTGCATACAAATGTGAAAAAAGTTTATGAACGGAATCAAAATCAAGAGTTTTTGGGAGATATTTTTCTGAAATATTTTGACGGAAATCTTAAGATTTTCGCAACTTTTTTTTTTGGTGATGCACCCTAATGCATGTACATTAGGGCGCGTCAATTTGTATGGAAGATTTTTACGATTATGCGCGTAATTCTAAGCAAATTTTGCCAAGGAAGCCATGGGTCTAAAATTAATCTTGGCATTTTGCTATAGTGTCGTAAGGAGGTGCTTAAAATTTTTATAAAAACATGCTATGGGTGCTTACCTTTTTTTTTTTTGTATAAGGAATCGATTTCTGCACTTACCTTTTTCTTAAAACTTCCACCAGGGTTCGCAACAGTGAAAGGTTTCTTCGGCCAATTTGCTCAGAATTATACGAAGAATCCTCCTATGCTATATATGCATAGTCAAAAAGAAATTGACCCGCCCTAACTAACATCTATCTTATCTTTGTATGGATCTAACAAATACTTATGTACATACGTATGTACATTTGCCCTAAAATTTGTTTACAGTATTTTTGACGCTGAATTCTGAAGGACACGCCCTTTCCTATTTAGACTAAATTCCACAATATGATTGAGCTAACTTTTGAAAGAGCCGTATAAGAGGTACATACCCTAGGTGGTATATTCAATTCATTTTTTATTTAAAACTAATTACATGTATAAATTGTACATAGAAGTACACAAACATATGTATTTAATTTAGTATCACTGTTGTTGTTGTTGCCACTATTTGGCTTTATTTTGCCTCTTTTGACGCCGATTCGCGATTTCCTCATAAACAATCGATGCCACCTTAAGTTCAATAGCGTCCACATCACTTTCCGACAAACCAGCTGACAAAATTTT